AAATCACTACTAGTTCAAAATATCTGAGATACTTTTCTGGAAACTATATTTTTGTTATATAAAAACAATAATAAGTTTGAAAAACTTATTATTGTTGAAAATCACTACTTAGTTTTTATGCAAAACACTTAGTATAACCTTTTCATTGAAAATTTTTTTTCTTTCTATAATTTTATTATGAGCCTCAGCAAACATAGTAGATAAAAATGATTCCTCTTCAGATTAGACCCTATTTCCATTTAAAATACATTTAAAATGGTTCAAAAGATTAAATTTGTCATTTTTTTAACACTTTGGCTACGAATTATTGTTTATTGAAAGCTTAAAAAATCTAATTTCCGTTTCTGATTTCCAACATTTGCATGATTAACTTGTATCCTTCAAAGATCTTTCTACATGGGTATGCCAACCAGGCTAATCAAAAATAGTTTTTGAAGGGTGCAGGCCGATCAAAAATAATTTTGAAGAAAGCATGCAAATCAAAATATACTGGAAGTTCCCCAGTCAAAACATTAAAAAAATATTGACTAAATTTACGCAAAGTTCTACGCAACTACAACAATAATTTCCTTTGAAAAGAATGAAAATTTTGAGTGAAATAAACAATTTTATCAATTTTTTAGTTATAAAAAAATGCTATATATATATATATATATATATATATATATATATATATATATATATATATATATATATATATATATATATATATATATATATATATATATATATATATATATATATATATATATATATATATATATATATATATATATATATATATATATATATATAATTAAACTTGAAATTAAAGTTTAAATTTTTTTTTAAATCTACACTTCCAAAAAGATTGCAAGCAACTACTATCAGAGTTGGAAGTTACTTTAAGAAGTTTTTAAATCAAGATAACAATTCGCAAAAGACTTTAAATATTGCAAAATATATGAATCAGGAAAAGAAAATAAAGATAGAGATAATTCCATAAAGAGATAATTCCAAAGAACTGATGTTTGAGGAAAAAAACTAGACAAATTAAGTTTTTTAGAGTTTTAAGGAACAGTCACATTAAAACGACGAGACTTGATTGAATAACGAGTAACACAAAAATGATTTTCAGTAGGTGGCACAAGAGACACTAGCTCTTATAGTTGCACCCATTACAGTATTTTTAGTAAAGAGAAAGAGAAACAAATTTAAGATGATGTGACAATGGTTGAGGGTTAGTTGTAACTATGGTCCAACTATGTTTACAATTGGTTTTTCACCTTGTCCAAAAAATCAAAAGAGCATCGTTTGAAGATTGCTCCAGATATGCAACAAATTCCATACAAGGACGAATTTGAGGTTTATTGAAATCAAGAATAAAATCTGGAGTTAAAGTGGAAAGCATGATAAAGTGATGCAACTTTAGCAGATGTTAATTTTGCAATGGATTTGCTATACGATTTCCAAGAAAGATAAGAAGTAAGATTAATCCAAGAAGACATGGATAGATGACTCATTGCGTTCTTGACTGTTCATCAATATAGGAAGATCTCAGTTGTTGTGATAACAGTTTGCTAAAAAAAATTGAGTTTTATCTGAGTTAAAATTCACCATATAATGAGAGCCTCATGCTATAGCAGAAGTGAGATCATTTTCAAAGTCAAATATCCCCTATAAGCACTCAGAAAGTGTTGGCTTCTTATCAAGACAAAAACTAATGGTAGTATCATCAGCGAACAATGCAACCTTAGATGTTAGAATTTCTAGATTACCATTATTGTAAATTAAAAAAGCATAGGACCAAGGATAGAATCTTGAGGAACTTCTGATATTGCAGGAAATAAAGAAGAGCGCTGTCCATAAAGGACAACTTTTATACAATGCTTGGTAAGGAAGGATTCAATAGTCTTAAAGATGTTACCTGATACACTGTAAAAGTAGAGTTTATTGAAAAGACCAACATGCAAAACATCATCAAAGACTTTAGAAATGTTAAGAGCAATAGCATTAACCTTTTTACATCAATCTAATGCTTGATAAACCTCTTGATTATTACCGTTAAAAATTAAGTAGTAGAGCAAGAAAAAAAACTCATATTGATGATCAGAAAGTTAATAGATTCAGGATGACATATCGTTTTTATTACTAATTTTATTTTTGATTGGTTCTTTATTGATTATTTCTAATTTGAAATATTTGAATTCTTAGATAATAAAAAAACAAAAATCCCTAAATCCCCCTAAACAAAAATTGATATTATGTTTTTATACAATATGTAAATAGCTAGCGTAATTTTTAATTGGTTAAATTTTAAATTAACGTGGAATCTTTTACAATAATTATTTAATATAAGTAATTTTTTTCTCTTATAACTATTTTTATTTATAATCCTTAAATTACTTGTGCGTGTTTAAAAAAGCAATAAATTAAAATATGCAAGTTAATATTTTTGCAATAGTAAATTTATTGCTTTGTTTTTTTATTTCTTTTTGCAATATGATAAACTCACCATTTCATTAAAACAGTGTTCACGGTTTTTAATAAAAAATTAATGATCAAAAATATTTCTAGAAATTGCAACTCAAGCGTAGTTGGTAATATATATTTAAAACTGTTAAGTATTAGTTTTTAACTATTTGTATTGTTTAATGATATATATATTGCAATATTGTTTATTATAGTGTTTTAGAATTAGAGACTCAGGCTAAAACCTTGCTAAGGAAGAGGACAATGGAATAGAGGGATTTAATAATGGTAGTTTGACAAATCAGATCATATTCCAGAATATTTAAATAGGGAAAACAGATGCTGCTTTCCAGCAGGCTGAAAAACAAGACTCTGATGAGCACTTGTTAAAAAGTTTTAAAAGTAAAGACAAAAGCTCAGGAGAACATTTCTGCAAGGCAACAACAGGTATGCTGCCCGGTCCACAAGCTGTAGAAGAATGCCAAGCAATGGATCAACCTGTTTTTCAGCTAAGATTTTATTAGCGTGGATGTGATTAGTTGAATCAAGAGATGAGATTAGTAAAAAGTTCTTACCAATCAATTCAGCTTTGTCTTTCGGTAAAATAACAAAATAAAAACAATACAAGAGAGATGGAATAAGTCTCTGGAGCCTAATTTTTGGAGAATAAATACAAACTTTGTGACCTGAGAATAATGGACTTTGGTATTAGACAAAACCTTCTCCTAATGGTTTCTAGCAAAATTAAACAGACATCTGTTTTCTGGGAATTGCTTTGGCAATATATATGGTAGTAATGATTATGATTGAAAATTGCAGCAGCAATTGCAACAGCAGCTCAATGAGAAAAAAAAACCATGGAGAAGAATGAGACTTGACTTGGGATCATCGAGAGGTATTTCCATGTCAGTCTGAATACAAGAAGTTACATCAGGAGCACATTTGTCAGCAGAAATATGAAAAATTTATACCCAAGGGAATCACAAAGAAAATTACGGAAAGAGTCCAAATCCCAATGAGTGTTTTTATCAATACGCAATCTCTAATCTTTACTTAACTAAGAGCCCAAAGGCATGAGGTTAAGTCAGAATTGGAATCTCCTAGTCTTTGCCTAAAAAAACCTATCCTACAAGGCAGCAGGACATGTTGATCAGGCAGAAACAGGTTGTACTGGGTTACATGTTAACAGTAGCAGGATATCCTGACTTTACCTGAATTAATTAACATAAATTAAACAAAATTATTAGCATATATAGGGGAATGTAAGGATCTTGTTTCATCAGATGTGCTTATTTAAGAGATGTTTTGAAAAAAGATCCTCTAATACAAGAAGCTTTACTCACAAAGATGATGTAAACAGATAATATTTCAAGACACTCAAATTTTATTACGAAAAAAAAAAAAAAATACATAGAAAACAGCACCATGTTTTCATGTTTTCAATAATTTTTGTAAGTATATTTTCAATCTACCTAAATACTCAATACCAACATTAGCCGAATAAGCGCCCACAATTCAAATGCACCCACAAAACAATTGGAAAAACAATTTCTATCATAAAGTTATCTTGGGTCAACAAAAATGACAACTTTATTAGCTTACAACAAAATAATAAAATTGTCCTAACAAAATACAAACCAAAATTTATAAAATTTTGGTTTGTATTTCGAATCAAAAGTCAAAAGGTAAGTACATTTACAAACTCTATTTTTCAATGAAACCCCTACAAACAGCTAATTTAGCAAGACATCATCAGTAACTTTTCCTACAAGGCATAACAATTTTGTTTTAAGTTTTTTTACAATTATAAACTAATCCAATTATTATTTTAATTTTTCACTGGTTTCATTTTTTTGGTAGTATTTTGTAAGTATTACCTGTAGAAAACTACAGGTAATACTTATTAGAACACAATGAAAATGGTTGTAAACTAAAGTTTACAATCGCTTTTACCCTGAAACTTTATTTTTTCAGGTGTGCTATCTTTATTAAAGCTAAGAATCTACTCATACGAATAGAAAAAAAGTTTTTTGTATTTTTAATTTTTTTTTTATCTTGCAATAACATTGAAATAAAAATTAACATCATTATTACATTAGAACAACTAAACAAAAAGTCTTTATCCTTTAGAGTCTGTATCCATTTGACTCAATTTAATAGAACTATTTAATGTCAAGCTGGTGAAGCTTTCTTCATTTTCTTTTTTTTATTCATCTCTCTCATCTCTTTTTTCTTGACCTTTTTTATCTTTCAAGACATTTCTTATTCAACTCTCATATCTCTATATATCTGTTGTTTATCATCTTATTTTTATTTATCTCTTATCTCACTTTTCTTTATCTCACTTATCTATCATATCTTTTTATTCAACTTTCATATTTCTTATTTCTTTTTATTCATCAACAGAAATCCGATAAACGAAATAATAAATAGAATTAAAAAAATAATAATAACAAATTATCCCTAACCCTATGGAAACTTGACTTTCATTTGTTTTGATAACCAAAGTACTTAATATTGAATACAATCCATTTAAAAAAAAAAATTACATTCTATCCTTTTGGTTAAGTCCTTCTCCATGAACACCAAGAACCGTAGACACTGCTACATTCCAATTTCTTAGTCTCGTATAATATCTAAAAAAAAAATAGTTTCTTTAAAAAAAACAATAACAACACGGATTAGTTAAGCTATATGCTAAAAAATAAATTTTACTGAGTAAAAATTATTTACAATAATTTTTAATAATTTTATTATTTTAGGAAAACTGAATGGAATCTTAAAGATCATTGGTTTTGCATTCAGAGAATTTATTTAGAGATATACACTAGTATGATTTAGGAAGTATAATAAATACTTAAAAAAATATTTTTATTGAATTAAGTATAAAATTGGATAAAAACAAAGAACTATAGTTAAAAACGAATATGTAGCTTTTCATTATAGTCTCTTTCTATTTTAAATGAAACGAATATTTTGATAAACAGCGAATAATACTTTAGAGTATAATGTAACTTTATTAAGTCTTACACAAGCAAACACAGTGTTGAATGGCAATAGCCAAGAAAAACCTGAACTCGTTCAAAAGAGTCAACCAAACTAAAAAATTATTCACATAAATTAAAATTTAATTTATTGATCTGCTGTAAATAGTAAATATTATTCGTACATAACATTTTTTATTGTTGCTTATTTATTTTGACAATTTGTTGCCTCTAAATCCCATAAACTAAGATATCTGTATTTTGTGAGGTTTTCTGTTTTTTTACTGTATAATGCATAATTAAGTTATTTCAATGGAAAGATGATGGAAATGGAAAAATTTTTTGTGTTACTCGTGAAGAGTACTAAACCTGAAGCAGGATTTTGACTAAAACTTTTTTATAATAATCACAAGAACCGGTTATAAATGGTTTTCGGATTATATTAAATATCTATAAAACTAGTTTAAAATCATAAAATTTTCAGTTACATCTAGGCTGACCAGGTACTTTTTTTTTTTGTAAGAGTAAACAGTGCAGAAAATTTTGATCACTACATATCCGTTGTAATCAAAATTTTTTGATTATGATAAGAAATCAAATGATTTTAACGATGCTAACTAAATCTATATTATTGTTAAAGTAATATCAAACCAGCTTCAAAGAGAGATTTCGATAAAACTTTATTATACACTATTCTTATGCGTCGTTGAATAATGTATAAATATATACTGTTTTAGGAACTTTTTATATTTATAAAGAAAACTAATTCTGCAAATATTTCAGAAGTAATAAGTTTCAAAACCATTACAATTTTTAAAATTAGCTTTTTAAAAATAAATGTAATATATCCGACCAATTAAATAAAGTAGGCCATGAAGATAACAATAGACTATAAAGTTCTTATTGTTTACTCAGTAACCCCATAAAATACCAACGTTAAATTATTAGTCCGATGGATTAACTAAAAAATTCACCCCAACTTAGAATAAAATACTATAAAGCTAAAACATTGCACAAGTAAACATAAACATTAGACTTAAATCACAAAAAAAAACAAAAAAAACTATCAATTGGAGCATCAGCAGGAATACTTTTAGGCCTAATTAAAAAGGGGTAATAACTTTGATGGTCAAGTTGTTTTTTTTTAATATACTTTTCATATATTTTTACTGATTCATCTGTTATTACTGATTCATATTCATATAAAAGTTATGGGTGAAAAATTAAAAATTAATAAGACATGCTTAATACTTTAACACAAGGTTTTATAGATTCAATGAATTTTACAGAACCCAATGGTATTAAAACATCTAATATTACATGCTATGTTAATCATACATGTTGTAAAGTTTAATGTTTTTATTAAACGATTTAGTAAACATTTTTAAATAATAGATTAAAGTTAAATGATGTTTGTTAGTATTTTATGTTTTTTATTGTTATTATTTTATTATTATATTATTTTATTGTTAGTATTTTATGTATTTTATGTTTTTTTATGTTGTTAGTATTTTATGTTTTGTTAGTATTTTATGTTTTTTCAAGGTGTACACCTAATTTTTTAAAGAAACAGTAAAAAACATTGTTTAGTAATTTATTTTACTTATTTTTAATTTCTTTTGCTCTAAATAAAAATTTTATTTTTATTATTGAATTAAATTTATACTTAATTATAAATTAACATTAAATATAAATACTTCTACTAGATATAAACATGGTTTTAGTTTTTAGTTTTTACAAGATTAATACGGTTATATCTTCCTTCTGATTACATTTGTTCCATATAGTCATATGGTCAGTTTTCTGCATTTTTATGCAGTGCAATTTGCAAAAGATGCAAATATATTGATTCACTTTTAGATGGCTCAAATTGCCACCAAAAAAAAGTGTTCAATATGCAAAAAACCGTTTATTATTGATGAAACACTCAGTAAAGATTCACTTTCAAGTTGAAGGAATTAAAAAGACTAATTAAGTTCAGCAAAAAAAAGAGAAATGGATGATTTAACTGCGTACTTCAATTCTATAAAAAATCAGATACTGAAAGGTAGAGTTCTAGTTCATCATGGCTTTAGAAGAACATTTGTAGATCATTGAAGTCTGCACACAAAGTACTCAATTAAAAACTTTTAGTTGTCTTTTCAGAAAGTGATTTGATTTATCAGTGCAATAATTTGATAGATTTCATCCAAAAGTCTTCTGGTAACTCTTTTGACTTAAAACTTTTTGATTTTTATTACAACTCCAAATCAACTTAATAGTTGAATTCAAACTTAATGGGCATGAATTTTTATATGCAAAAAATATTATATATATATATATATATATATATATATATATATATATATATATATATATATATATATATATATATATATATATATATATACAAAAAACATTTAACAAATAGACAGAAAATGATTTTAAAAATTTACCATTTTTTGTGTAGGTTTTAGAACATTTTATACTTAAAAAAAAAAAATTGTAAAACATTTAAACGAAAAAAGCAAAAAAAAAAACCATATAACTAAAACTCTAAAAACTTTAAAAATTAATAAAGAAAAAAAAAAAAAAAAAAATGAAACAAAAAAAAGATTGAATTAAAAATCAAAATAACTAAAAACAACAAAAAACATATTGCACCAAATGCAGAAGACAAGTCCACCATACCACTTTATGAGCCATCTGTTAAGAAAAAGTATTGCACTTAAATGGTTAATAAATTGAAAAAACAACAACAAAAAAACAAGCATAAATAAGATATTAACAACAAAATCACAGAGATATCACAATTTAGAATCAAGTTAAGGTCATAAAATAGATTATATAACTAAATCAAATAGTAAAAGCTAGATAAAAATTTTTATAACAATATATATATATATATATATATATATATATATATATATATATATATATATATATATATATATATATATATATATATATATATATATAAATATGAGTATATAAATATGATTATATATATATATATATATATATATATATATATATATATATATATATATATATATATATATATATATATATATTTATATATATATATATATATATATATATATATATATATATATATATATATATATATATATATATATTTATATATATATATGTATTTATATATATATATTTATACAGAAATATAAACGATGAAACTACTGTTAGGGTTTTCCGTCAACAAATTAAGATAAACTATTTTTGAATTTCTTGCAGTAATTTTGATAACATTCGAGTATGTTCTGTAACATTAAGCCACTTTTAATTATTTTCTTAAAAACATTTTCTTAAGCACTTTTTCAATCTTTTAACTTTCCAAAATTGTCTAACACTTCTTAAAAGCAATGAAAAACTTAATATAAATTTCTAATACTTATGTCAATAATTTTATAAAGCCTTTGTTGGTAAACATGTAAAAATATTATATGCTTAATAACATTACATGTGTACACATACATACATACAAGAAACTAAACAGACTTTAAAAAATAACATAATTATTTTTATATTACCCAAGTTTAACAATTACCTATTGGGAGTATTTATTTGTTATTTGTTGAGTAAAAACAACTGTATCTTCAACAACAACAAAAAAAAGAATAAAAAAGTGACTAACAAGTAAAAAGAATAGAATGAAGAAACTAATAATAGATAAAGTTTTTAAGTTACAAAATCCTTTACTTCAAAAAGAAGAAAACTGACAGATAAAAAAACTTCAACATTAAAGCAAAAGCTGCATATTGTGCATCATTCTTTAAATGTAAGCATTCTTTTGTTGTAACTATATCTTCATTCTTAAACTTTAACAAAATAACTGCATTTTAAAAAATTGCCTTTGGAACTAGTATTAACACTGTAAAAAAGCATGGAACATTTTTACAAAAATCAGGAACACGTTTTGCACAAAGTCAGCAACATGTTTCAAGTCAGTAATATTTTCCAGACAAATTTCTTGTGGTGACGAATAATCAAGTCTTAAAGATTTAAATTGTTCTGATTTATTTTGCAAGGTAGTACTCATAGGACTACTTCCTGTAATCCCATAACCTTTTGATTCTATAACAAAAAAAATTAAGCAAATAACAAGAAGACAATCATTATGTGGATGAGACGTATTATTATGGGACTTGAAAATGTACTTTCAATAGATGTAGAATTTTGTGTTTCATAAACTCGTAACTGCATTTAAAAAAAAAAGTACTTTAGCTTAAGTATCTGCTAGGTTTTTGAACTGTTTTTATTTATTATTATTTTTACATATATTTTCTTACTATATTATATCTTTATATAATATAAACTTTATTTCTTTTCTTAGTATATTCCTCATCAATAATCAAAATAAGTATTTTGTTATTTTTTATAATAGTCCCAGGACTTCTTCTTTTAAAAAAGCAGCTGCACAAGACATAAACTTCTGTCTACTTTATTTTAGATATAAACTTATATTTATCTTATCTAAAAAACAAACAAGTAAACAAAGAAAAGCTCTATGAGACAAAGAATTATTTAACAAAAAACTGAAACTAGTTCAATTTTTTTTAACTCAATTGGTGAAAAACTTAACCAATAAGGTTGATTGATAAAAAATTTATAAAAACTTGTCATTATAATGTTTATATTTGGATATAATTGTTATATGTAGTTATAATTATAATATGTGGAATGATTTCCAGCTAACTATTTGATAGAAGAAGGGCAAAAAGAAATAACCAGATTACCAAAAATCGTTTAAAAAAAATGAATGAGAAAGGAGATTTGATAGAAGTCAAAAAAAAAAAAAAAATAAGATTTCAAATTCAAACTTTTATTAACAGTTCTTAAAATGAATATTTTTACTGCAAAATTTACCAAATTTAAAAAAACAACACATTCTAGAATCCTAGTCAATAATTAATTCAAAATCAATTGAAAATAACTGGTCAGAGATAGCAACATTAATGCAGCTTGGAAACAAAAAACTGCAAGAGAATAAGTCAAAAAGATTTCTGATAATAACAGAGATATGACAAGAATAAAAAATTGAAACAAGAATGCATGGTTTAATGCATAATCTTAATGCATGACCACATGAAGCAATCAACATGATAAGAAAACCCTGTAACCCTTTAACAAGGACAACCACAGCAGGGTGACCATTCAAATTTGAAAATAAAATTCCATGACTTTTCCATAACTTTTCCATGAGTCTTCATAAACTTTTATGATGGAAATCATTTGAGTAAAATATTTAGCACTTGCCATATACTAAGCATTTGAAACTTGGTCATTATAAACATGCAAACCAAAACTAATAAGTAGAAAGTTCTGAAATCATGTCTGAAAAAAACTTAAACTGCAAAAAGAACTTAGACTAGACATTCTAGTGCTTTTATTTGCATCCTAAAAATATCACAGGTAGAACAAAATAAAGATAGTTTTAAAAAGTTCCATAAATTATCCATGACTTTCAATGAAAATGTAAGAATTCCATGACTTTTTCCATGATCAAATACAATTCCATTTAGGGAGACTCCATTGTACTGCTAATATTATATAAGGGGTTATAATACCTAAATCTTTTGATATTGTGAAAACAATTTTCAATATTTTCAAAAGGATAAAATTAAAACTCAAAAAAAAAACATTCTAAAGCTCAATAAAACTATAAAAAAATGTTTTTATTGTTTTATTGATTATTTGGATTAAAACTCAGTTCTCAAGGACAAGGATAATAGATTTACTTTTTTAAAAGCATAATGCAAAGATAATTTTATATAAATAAAATAAGTTTCCAGGATTGCTTTTAATTAGTTCTCATTAGGATTCTCTTAATGAGATTCACCCCAACCTGTAAAATAATTTAGAAGTTTGTGCTACAAAAAAAAAACAAGGTGATGGATAACAAAAGCATTATCACATGTGATGATACAAAGCATTACCACACTATCATTATTAAAAACAAATATTTGATTCATAAAGGTAATCCATTATTGAAAAGAAAAGAGTTAAATATTATTTCTGATTTACTATGATTCAAGTTTGTATTTTTGATTAGCTGATGACAAATGTTTATAAGTGAATTAATTATTTGTTTTATAATTTCAAAATAATATTCTAATTATTTAGTTATAATTGAAAAAATCTAGATCTTTCAGAAATTCTTCAAACCCAATTTATTTCTCAAAAATATTTAAGTTTTCAAATAATTTAATGCTTCGTGAATTTATGGTACTTTTTTAACAATCAGATTTACAAATTTACCCACATTTAAAATTATGATCTTTTACAAAAATTTCATTCTCTAAGAAAGGTTGACTGTATCATAAGCAGAGTGTTACCTATTCCATATTTAACACAATCTGAAATAAAATGCTTCTCCACCAGCTTATTTTATAATAAACTATTAAATAAAGTACTAAAAAATCACCAAAAATCTAACAATACCTGACTTTAATGGTCTGTTATAAATTGAGGGGAGGTTTTTAGTCTTTATTGCAGAACAAGTTGTGTTTTCACTAATCACAACCTAAAAACTATTATTAGTTTTAACAACTGAGCGCCTATCTCTAACTTGTGAAAACAATTTTTTAACTGCATTATATCATATAAGTTTTGGGCTGTTTACATTAGTGTTAACTTCATACCATGTTGTAGGTGCTAAAACCAAGACTAAAAAAAAACATTTTGAAAACATTAAAAAATTTTAAACACTACTATTACTAATTTTAATTTTTTACTAGCTATAATTACTTTTTATATTTATTTTTACATTAGAAAAATTTAATTATCAATTTGCCTCTCTGTGCAATGCCTTTGTTTGTCGAAGGTTGTGTTTTGGAGTCAAAGGGTTGACATTAGAACAATAACAATAACAACAAAACAAAAAAACAAAAAAAAAAAGACTTTTAGACATTAGAAAGGTGAATACAATAAAAAAATAAATATATGCAATTTTACCATTCTTTAAACTTATGTAGGCTATTCTTTATTTTTTGCTTTTCTTTGTTATTAAATATCTCTTAATACTTTAGTTATGTAAAAATATTTCGCTTTTTAATTTGCCCATCAGTTCCAAAATAAAACAAAAATTTATATATATATATATATATATATATATATATATATATATATATATATATATATATATATATATATATATATATATATATGCAGGCGGTGAGATCTGTTGCAAGGACACGCCCCTGACGAGCGGCGTTAGTGCAGGTCTCGGGCTCTCTGAAACGTCATTGGTGATCGCAGTGCATTCCTGAGGAGGGGGATCACCATTTATCCACTACTTAATTCTAATTGGTTATTATGGCACCAACATTTTTTTACCTCTTAAACCCATGTATTATTGCGCTTTATGAGCTTTTTATTATGAATTTGGTACATTTACGACATTTATATATTTTTTATGTTACACAGGTGATTATCAGTTATCAATTTTTTATCTAGAGTTTAGAACGTATATAGTACCACATTTATTAGACACTTGTCTGGTGCGATTATTTTAGTTATGAATACCATTATAAACCAGCGGATTTTTATTGACTTGTTTACTCATAGATCTTTATTTCATCATTTATTAAAAGATGACTAGAGTGTGAGTTTTTATTCCCCCTTTTCCTGAGTTGCTTACTTTTACTCTTCCAACTAAATAGTCTTTGCATTAATTTATGTTTTTTTACCTAAATGACATCATCTTCAATCTGTTTTTACTTTCACATCTCCCAGGTCTACGTAACTGAACGGCTCCGTTGGTCACTTTTTGCGATCATGGTGTCGCATAAGCAAAAATTTATTCTTTGTGGCTGGTGAGCCCCGACTTTTTCCAATGTACGTCACAATGACAAAACGGACATTAGGCTATCCCGCTGGATGTGGTTACGGCGCTAAATAACCTAATGACTACGCTGACACTCACGCACACGTTCAATCGGAAGCTCCACAATGCACGTCGGATCAGCGCTCGCTGACTATGTGCTTGGATATGAAATCTCACTTCATAGCACATCATTCCACACCAGCACGGGGCAGTAGCTCTTTTGGTTAAGAGTGATGGCTTGTGGCCTACGGTGACTAATGTGTGCATTCGATTAATTGAAATCCATTCTGTAGGTCTTACGTCTGGCTCTGATGTGCTAGCCCATAAGCGCAAGAAGTGAGTGTGTTTAGCTTTCTATTCACCCGATTTTAATGTGAACGAAGACATAACGAGACCATACTAGACGACCAAACGGTACATACTAATGCACTACACCATTACACCTGTAGACATCAACGGTCTTCAAAATCAGTATATCAAATATTTGTTCTTTGTTACATATGATCTACATACAGAGTGATTAGAGTGTTAGTTTGTTCTCTCCCTGCCTCCGAGCATTTACTTCGTTCTTTACCTTCACAAAAGTCTTATCACTCATTTTATATTCTCATATTATTTTTATTTTATACTCAATGACACCATCTTCTAGCTGTTTTTATTATCACATCTCTCAGGTCTACAAAACTGGACGGCTCCGTTGGTCACTTTTTGCGATCATTGTGTCGCATAAACAAAAATATATATATATATATATATATATATATATATATATATATATATATATATATATATATATATATATATATATATATATATATATATATATGTATATATATATATATATATATATATATATATATATATATATATATATATATATATATATATATATATATATATATATATATATATATATATATAATTATGGCTAAAAGATTATTCCGAAAAACTAATAGAAAAAGCTTTTTACAAAAACTACAAAGGCTAGTACCCCAAAAAAATCCAAAAGAAGTTTTACCTTTTGCTACAACATTTTATAGCAACCTAAATTATCAACCTATTTTAAATAAAACTTCTATTTAGTTTATCATTCAATGAGAGAGTAAAAAAATGTTTTTAAACATACATCCAGTAATAGCTAACATAGTACCATCAAACTTATTGAGACTTACTTTTGCCAAATTTCAATCTGCAACATAGTTAAAAAAAACATGATTATTTTAATGTAAAGATATTCTATGCAACATTTTCATGTAGCGTTGACAAGAAGCTTTGTGACATCCAATTGTACTACTTGAAAGATAAAAAGCCATATATTACAAGCATTACCTGTAATAGCAAATATGTGATCTGTTATCTAAACTGTTAAGCATGTAATGTTCAATCTACTAACACTGAAAAAACAATCGATTTATGAAATCTGACAAATTGCCACATCTCCTTTTGCAGAACTGGCCAATCAATGGGCAGATTCAACAAACATATTTACGAAAGAAAAAAGGAATGCCAAAGAATAAATAATAAAACTGCATAACCTATTTTGCAGCATTTTTTTTTCTAGAACTTAAAAATGATATTATGGTTTTATGAAAATCATTTACACAAACAAAATACCTCTAATTAACACTTCCTACTTAAAAAGACAATGCTAACTCCTAGCAACATTTTCAATTTCAATTATACAAAACTGAAAAAAGTTTTATTAGGGATTTTTTTGTATAACAGCTGGTTTTATATACCATAAAACTGCCTTAGATTGGTCACTTGAGCTTTGAACATTCATTAATCACACATAAATAAAACCTTTCAATTTTTTTTCCAGAAACATACATACAATTATATTGATAACTGATATTGTAAAAATAAAAAAATGAAAAATAAAAACTAGTAATCGATTTTTAATTTTAAATGAAAACATATACTTTGACCAAACTTTCAATGCAATTTTGTAAGTTCAGTCGCTATATAAATTCTAACAATGCATCACTAAGTTAACATCAGAAATAATGAAAACTAATTTTTAAATGTTGTTTGATTGTAAAATAATGATATAATATCAGTTTATACAAGTAACCAAAAAAAGCATCACCTTTGGCTTAAAGAAAAAAGTTTTTTGTGCGCCAAAGAAAACAATGAGAAAAAATTATTTTTTATTTTTATTTTAACTATCCAACTTCTTTATTACTTTTAATCATTTTTGCTACGCCATTGGTCAAGAAAATTAAAAATATATTTTTATTACTATGGCCTTTATCATTTTTGCTACGCCATTGGTCAGTAAAATTAAAAATATATTTTTATTACTATGGCCTTTATCATTTTTGCTACGCCATTGGTCAGTAAAATTAAAAATATATTTTTATTACTATGGCCTTTATCATTTTTGCTACGCCATTGGTCAGTAAAATTAAAAATATATTTTTATTACTATGGCCTTTATCATTTTTGCTACGCCATTGGTCAGTAAAATTAAAAATATATTTTTCAATAAGTTAACAAAGTTTTTTCAATTAACAAAAAAATACTACTTTGCTTTAAATAAGCTTTGTAGGTCAATTCTTCTCAATTCTTGCACATATTGTCGACCTAAGTAGAACAGCAAGATCCACAAAACCAATTGTCACAGGGTTGACAACGCATTTATAACTTTTGCTAAACTGTAGTAAAGCCTAACTAACTATTATAATATAAATTAAACTATTGAAAAAGATGGAAGTGCATTGAAGACTTTTTATCACTAAAAATAATTGAACAACTAAATAATTTTTTAATTAAATTTATCTGGTGTGAAATTAAAATTATTACAGAATCTATCTTTATTGATTGCATCTACATACCACTAAACTGAGATCACCAAGTAAATACTGCAATTAACAATTCCATTAAAACAGCTGCCCATCTAGTTAGTTAAAAACATTTCTTAAGTTTTTTAATAGCAGCTGATTTCAACTTTTCAGACATATTATGGGATAATAATGGTGGAGCAATCTGTTTACGACAATCTAGTATATAATTTTTAGCTATTCTTAATTTAAATTTCTTAGTACAATTAGCGCTAGAAACTACCCTAAGCATAATTGATCTAGTAATTACAAATGACCCAATCAAGATCTATTAATGTAACAATAGATCTTGCTTGGGTCATTTGTAATATTACATTTATTATTAACATAAAATTCAAATAAACATTGCTACTTTTTTTTATAGATTTATATTTGCAAAGTAATAAATATTATTCAAGAAAAAAAAATACATATGTATGATGTATACAATATAAACTTCTATTACAAACATTAATCATTTGTCATTTGAACATTTCAATTTTAAATAGCTAAATAATTCTAATTTTTAAAAATCAATAATAGTTACAATGAAATAGTTACAAGATGATTTGTAGGGTGCGTATCTTTGCACTAACAGTTGGATCATAAAAAGATTCTTTAAGTTAGCATAATCTTTAAGTGAAGTTGTTGTCTGTAATTGATAACTTCCAAGTTGAACTTTATTAACAAATATTTTTGGTGATGTTCTTACAAAAAGAATAAAAATTCAAATTAAACACAAACAATGACTAATAAATATAAAATGTGTATTCTTTTAAAAGATAACACAATGGATTTTGTTCAAAAAATAATATTTAAAATAAATCTTCCATTCAAAAATTTCTATTCCGAGTTTAGAACATAATACAAAATAATTACTAAAATGAAATATTATTCTTCCTTTTCAAAAATTTCTACTTTGAAAAGTTATTACTAATTACTACTAAATACAAATAGAACATTAATTCAGATAAAACTCAATTTTTTTTCAGTCAATCGTTATCGCAA